CAGTTCTAGATTGTGAAATTGTATTAGGTGAAATTTCATCCCTCGAATCACACTCACACCTTCAAACACAGAAATTCCATTTAAAATGTTCAGAAGACAATTTCCAATGTGTTTAGGGTATTGCGTTACAATCTCTAAATGTCATAGCCAAACATCAGAATACACTTGCCACATCTAGTTTTCACCCATGGCCAACTTTATGTGGCTTTATCAAGATGCAGATCACCAGTAAGATTAGGCATTAAAGTATAAAACACATCACTCCAAGGACAGTTATTCCCTTTGAGTCCTTCTGCTTTCACTATCAACACAGTATATAAGGAAGTTTTATATTAAATCCTCCATGCATTGTTTGTAGCACTAAAACAAATTCTTGATATAAGTCTAATGAACAAATAAAACAACCTGCTAATAAGACAATATATGCTGGGCAAGTGCTAATATATACATGAAGAGACACGCCTCTACCCTACATCTGGATCAGTGAAGTGGCATTACTGCCACTTAGGATCATGTCATAGAGAGCATATACTCAATACTCCCTCTTGATTTTGATGACATAATGGTTGCCTCTCAGGATCTCCCTCTTAGGAAACACTTGTCTAAACACATTATGTGGATCTCATTATTAGAATGCCATGGTTGATGAAGGTGGATCTAAATATAAAGTGGAATATTAAACATATCTCACTAGAGTACAGTGGTGTTAAAGATGTGTGGTTTGGAAAAGGAGTTTAACCTCCAGTTGTTATGCTCTCTACTACATCTTTGAAGCAGGCTTTTCATAATGGAAAAACATTTTTGAGTTACTTGCTATTTGTTTGTGACTTTGGGGACCAAGGCACATGTGGGGGAGAAGTAGCAATATGGGATATATTCGACGAGTTTTCTGATGTTTTTTCATCTAAACTTCCTTATGAGTTACCTCCATTACGAGGTGTGAAGCATGGGATTACATTGGAGTCGAGGACATGGCCAATTTACCAACATCCATTTCGGTTAAATTATGCGGAGGAGCAAGAAGTTCAACAACAAGTCAAAGAGTTACTTAAGTTTAGATTTATTCAGCCAAGTAAGTCTCTGTTTGGTACTCCGGTCTTGCTTATGAAGAAGAAAAACAATTCAATGTAGATATGTATTGATTACCATGCTTTGAACAAGAAGACAATGAAAGATAAGGTGCCGATACCATATATGGATAATATTTTAAACAAGCTTAGTGAAGCACGAGTGTTTACCAAGATTGATCTGAGGAGTGGATATCATCAAATTGCAATGGATGATGCATCTATTTTCAAAATGGTATTCAACACAAGCTTCAAGCATTTTGAGTTTACAGTTATGTTGTTTGGTTTAACGAATGCACCAACCACATTTACTTGGTTGATGACAAAGGTATTTGGGCATTATGAGTTTATGGATATTTTTTTGAACAATATTCTTATTTTTAGCAAGAATATGGAAGAGCACAAGGTGTATTTGCACAAGGTTTTTTTGTTACTCTGTGATAACAAACTTTATGCAAAGAAGAGCAAATGTGAATTTGCAAAGTCGAAGGTGGAATATCTAGGTCGTCTTGTGACATCTAAGGATGTCAAGATGGATCCAAGGAAGGTGGCTGTGGTGGAAAATTGACCTACACCAACTTCAATAGCCGAGTTACGCAACTTTTGTGGTATGGCTAGTTACTACCGACGTTTCCATCATAAGTTTGTAGAGGTGGTTATTTCTTTGACACAATTGTTACACAAGAACGTGCCATTTGAGTGAAAGAAGCCACAAGAGGAAAGTTTTATGGCGCTGAAATGATTGTTGAGCAAGGCTCCAGTGCTTCACATTGCTGATCCATTGAAACCTTATGAGGTGACATGCGATGTGAGTGTTTATGCACTATGAGGAGTTTTCATGTAAGAAGGATAGCCTATTGTATGAGAGTTGAACTTGAATCCCATGGAGCAACACTATTCCACATATGCTCTCTATTGTTCATGCTTTGTGGACGTGGCAGCATTATCTTTATGGTGCAGTGTTCGTGGTGTTGACAGATCACAAACCACTTGTGTATCTTTTCACACAGAAGAAATTGAACACTAGGCAAGCTCGTTAGATGGTCAAACTCATAAATTTTGGGGAGTTTTCTATTGAGTATCGTCTGGGAAAATTAAATGTGGTGGTGGATGCCTTATTTCATGTTCATTATGTGACGGTGTTATAAACACGGTTTTGTCATCATTTGAGTAAAGTGGTCAACAAGTTTGGGTAGTTGGTTGAGCATGCTCAAGCTTAGGATGCTGAGGTGGCCTTTTTGTGAGACCAGATAGAAGCCCCTTTCTAATTGGTGGATGGGATTCTCTATTACAATGGCTGTGTATATTTGCCATGAGTGGATGCGTTAATTACTCAAGTTTTATTCCACTATCATAATCGTCCGAAGGCCAGTCATTTTGGGGGAAGATGATATATGAGTTGATTAAACACAATTTTTATTAAAGGAATATGAAAGTTGATATCCTTGGGTTTTGTAAATCATATGAGCTTTGTGTAAGCGACTAAATTTTCCATTCTACTTTAGTCACTTAACCACACCTCCGACCATTTGGAGGAGTCTCAATCACAACCTCCCTAAGTCCATTTTAGGACTTGGGACTTGCTAGCCCCGAGAATGGCATCCATGCCACTCAACATTTGCACTTGGTCCAAGTGCTCCACGTGTCCGATCCCATGACCGACACTCAAAAGTACCACCGACATGGCAGCCTGTTACGCTAAGGCCATGCCCAATCACCTTTGCCACACTGGTAGTCCAATACCACTTGTATCATAGTCTTGGCTCTCCAAGACTAGGCAAACCATCCATGAGTGGTCATCTCAGATCCACTCCTTAGCATCCTTAGGATGCCCACCGACAAGGGGAATAACCTTCCCCAATATCCCTTTGTCAGTCCCCACTAAGTCCCTTTTTGCCCCTGGCCATGTTTGCCAACACTGCCACTGGATCAAGGCCCACAGGCCCGACCACTAAGTCCCACGGTCCTCTAGGACTTCCTCACCACACGACTGTGTCCTTGATCACTAACCCCAGAGGACTGCTCCTCTTCCTTTCCATAGTCTAGGCCTTTGGAACAACATTTCAGAACACCGTGGCTTTACGCGAGCCACCTGGGTACTCTCCCCGCCTTCCGCCCTTGGGTGCTCTAGCCATGGGCTTAGAGCGAGGTTCCGTTGAGCCACGCCTGGTATCCAAGTAGGTAGTGCCACCCACACTTGGACTGGGAGCATCGGCCAGTCGATCTCCCGGGGGAACTAGAGCTAACTCTTGAACACTTCACCAAGCTACCCAGCTTGTTGGTCCATGTTCACTCTAGTCTTGGACTTCCCAGTGGTCAACTCATCACCCAACACTGGGTCTGGCCTTCCTAGGCCAAACTAGCCTTTCCTGGCCAAACTGGCTCCACTGGGCTCCAACCCCCACACTCTCCCTACTATACTTTTGGAACCCCCCGCAGCCCCCCCCCCCCCCCCCCCCCCTTGGGGGACGATCGCTTTGGGCTTTCACCCAACTGCCTGTATTAGTATTCAGACTCGCACTC